GGGGGGGTAGGGGTAGGTAGGCACCTCGCCACATTACAGACACGAAACGGCCAGAAACCAAAAGGGAAACGGTGGACGAAGGGCGCTGCAAACCAAAACAACGAAGAAACCTAGAGCGTAAATGGTACCGTTCTCTTCCTCTCCAAGCCCAACTTCTATCATCATCATCGCACATTTGGTACTCTGTGGGGCGCACTCACTCTCAGACCAGTTTAATCGATACGACCAGCACGGTGATCGCACCTTCTTACGCCACGCGTCGCGTCGTTCGCGGCAACGACGAGCTCTGCCGCTTCACTACCACGCACGCACGCACCTGTATGGAATCGATGTCGACCTCTCCTTCGTAGGTCAGGTGGACGAACACGTTTTGGGCTTCCACGGCCTCCGGGCCACGCTGCTTGCAACCGAAGATCAACCCGATCCACCTACACACACAATACGCGAGAGGAGGGCGCGTGTAACAGACAAACACAACACAGTTTGAGCTTATTTTTTTCGATTTTTTCCCTCTATTTTGACAAGCAGTGCACAAGTATAGATACAAGGCACCTTTTCGGGAGGTGTGTGGCTTGCCTCCTGGTGGCGACCCAAGAGGACATGGCATATGGCATCGTGGTCGCCTTGTTGCATCTCAACGTCACGACGATTGGTAAGTGAGTGCCGGTTTCGCGTATAACGGAGGGGGGTACGCGGACCCTAGTCCCTAACCCTAACCCAACTTCCCCGACTGCATGCTTATCCAACATGTTTGCTTGATACACGAACTTTGCTGCGAAGGCTTCTATGAATGCTGCCCGCCGCACCGATCCAGCGCCATCATCGAAAAGCAAAGCAAAGCAAGGAGGGCAAAAGGGCACACACTCACGAGTGCAGGTTCTTGCTGACGTGCGGCGACTCGAGCGCCTTGCGGTGCAGCCTGATGAACTCGGCGGGGTCGCCCTTCGCCCACGGAGGGAGCACGACGTCGTGCACCCCCTGGCCCTTCTGCGTGAACCCAAAGTCGAACCCGTTCGAGTTTACCAAGAACTCCGGGAGGTTGAAGAACTCTGGGGTAAGCTCTCGGACGTCCTGGCGGCAGCGGCGGAGGGGGTGGGATACGGTGCGGAGTGGGGGGTGGGGGGGTGCTCATGTAAACGCATGCCGTAGCTGTTAGACCAATGACCTCACATGCCATGCCGGGACGGAGCGACAATGCCGGCTTTTCGCCGGCTCACGCTACGTTTCAACAGACAGGATGAACCAGAAGCTGGCCATCATCATCCTTGCGTTTGTTGTACTATTCCAGGATGGGGCGAAGGCGTCTAGTGCTCTGCGGGGACGGTGTATGAACAGATGGAGAGGAGGATGTGGCGCATGCGTAGGGTCTTTCGTATTCTTTAGGTCCCAGTGCAGGGTTCCCCACGTCATTCTTCATGTTGCCGTGCCGTGTGTACGCACTGTACTCCCCCGCCCCTACATGGAGCCACGTCGTCTTACACGGCCTTGGACAAGCAAGCAGCATCGCCTGTACTTACTGTCGACACATGTCCAAGTACGGCTACTACGAAAGAAGAGCAGAGGGAGGGGGCGCGCGTAGACCCTACCCCTAACCCCAACTTATCCGATTCCATACTATATCCAGCCTGTGTGCTCGTGTAGAAAAACCTGCCTAGACTACTGGCCTGTACCTGCAAGTTTTCTCTCGAGGCCGACTCCCAACTGGACCGCACGTCTCGGAAGAGACGGTCGGCCTTATCGAACCGACCCCCCTGAAGCGCGAGGGCTAGCTTCGTGAAAGGCTCGAGGCGGAGGAGGTAGTGCAGGATGTAGCCGGCGCAGCTGTAGTGAGTGCCGTAGTGGAACGGGGGCGGGTTTGGGTCTTGACCGGTCTCCTCGGCAGCCTCTATCACGGCCTGTCATCATTGGGGAGGGGGAGGG